GCTGAAACTGATTGCCAACAACTGGCTCTATTCGTCGCAGATGCTGGCTTGGGTGCCTTGGTAAAGACCGATCGCGCCGCGAAGAAAAAGAGTGTGACAAGTAGACGGTCACAAGACCAGTATCTTTATCTAAGCACCTGGCTCGTTGGGCAGATCCGCGGGCACTGACCTCAGTCGAAGCGATGTAAAGCGGCATCGAAAACAGCACCAAGCCATATCAGAGCAGACCAGTAATGATTAAGGTTGCAACGTTGGAATGAGGTAACTCTGCAGCATGCCCAGGTACCTACGCACGAACGAAGGCAAGTGACAGATCTCTATCAAGCAGTACGCAAACGAGCTAGGAGCGAGACATCCGCAGAGTCCTCCCCAGCAAGCACCTATGGGTGAATGCTCAAGACAAAAAGACACACATAACACGCGAAAGTGCAACATCTAGCAAGCTCTTAGTCGAACACATCTGATGAGCCAACTCCAGCCGCCACCTCTGGGACATGAATCTGGCAGACCGTGGTCAATGAAGGCTGACGCAAGGACACGCAACGGCGGACGGAAAGAACAAACATGCGCAAAAGGCAGCGACATACAAGATCAGCTTTTAGGGCCAGACTTCTGTGGGGACATCTGCAGGTGGCACCTGTCGCGGGCACTTCTGGAAGATTTGTGGAAATTGCGAAGTGATGTTCAAGCAAGGTTTCAAACCAAACAAAACATAGAACACCGAAGGTTGACGCATCATCAAACTTATATCCTGGCTTTTGAGGCGCAGGCCTGATGCTGCACCCACTTCGTGGCAGCGCTTTGCATTTGGAGGAGGACACCAGAAGGAAGACTTGGCAAGGCAAGGCGGAGGTCTGCAAAGCTCAGGACGGACAACTGATGAACTGTTATTTGCTGCTGTTGCAGCGGAGGATTCCACAAAGTCCACTGGTGACAGCGTAGAAACGCAGCAAGTGCAGCGTCCTCACGCGGAATGGCCAAAGGCTGAGGTCGAGGATGGCTTTGGTCCGAGAGCCCACCCAAAGCCGAGGGCAACAAGACTTGAACAGGCTGTTGTTCAAACAAAGGTACCGGCTGGCTTCGCTGGGGAAACACTGGCCGCTGTAGCGACAATTGGCCTAAAACGAGGAACGCAGCGTGCATGTGCTCACAGGTTGCGTGGAGACAAAACTCGGCGCAAAACGCACAAAAGCCCTGCGTATGCGGGCTGAGCTCCTGCGCCATTGACTCTCGACGCCAGAATTGGGCAGCAAAGTGGCCCACTGCAACAACAACATAGGAATCCAACAGCTTCAAAAGCTTTTCCAAATCCAAAAGAGGCTGCGCCAGGCCGAGGTTCAATAGAGCGCGGGTCAAGGAGGTTTCAGAATTGGCCCGGAGAAGGTTCGCAAAAGCTTGCGCAAAACCAGAGGACGGACACTGCACGCATTGTCAGGCGTTCTGACCCAAGTTTTGGAAGCGTGGTCATATGTGGCCAGGGTGCGGCGCATGCACAAGAATGTTGTCCCATCATCATCGTCAAAACGGTCCCACGCCTGCACCCTAAAAAACTGTTCCGCCGATGACCGGCCTTGCCGGGTCAGTGCGTCCGAATCCCACAAGACCATCTTATCAGGAAACGGTTCGGCTGGCATGTCGGGTAGGCACGAGCCCGCTGCACGCAAGTCCATCAGACGTGACTTAGTGAAGCTGGCTAAGGACGATGCGAAGGATTGCAAGCTACTGCGGAGGCCGAGGTACTTTTTAAGCTTCCAGCGGTGCCATGACTCCTGCGCTTGTGTGCCGGAAGCGGATCCAGGCTGGATTCGCTGCAGGCCACACCACCACTCAGCGGTGTAGAACGTAGTTGGTTCTCCGGGCCAGTCAAAGGCTCCAAAAGCAGTCTGGGCTTGCTGGCGCGAATGCTTGACAAAGTAATGCCTCTGCAATGCTTTCGCTGCTTTCTCTTCAGGGGGGCTGCTGCGAAACAAGGGTTTGAAGAAGCAAAGCAGTGATGGAATGAAAAAGCAGAGCTGTAGGGACACAGCGAAGACAAAAGAACGCTCGCTCCACCAAGGGCAACAACTTCAGACCACTCTGCGTCAAATGGCTTTTCACTGTGGCAAAGGCACCTGTGCGGAAGGTTTTGATCCTCTCATCTGCAGGCATCAAAGCTTTTGTGGTCTTGGGGCGGTTGCAAACACCAATGACATGTGCCCAGTCGGTCACCCGGCTAGCGCAGCGAAACACCGACTTTTGAGCCAGGTCCTCACCAGGGTGCAGTCTGCATGGTATTGGTGACAGGCCGAACGTAAATCCACATCTGCAAAACGGTCAGCGCACGCACACAAAGCTTCAAATAAAACCTGGTAAGTCGTCTGACTTTCTTTGTTGGCAAGACCGAAAACAAGAGGATGAAAGACCGTGCGAAAAGCATAGACGCCCTCGGATGCAGCATAATGCTTGGACAAGACACCTACAGTCATCAAGACCCAATCATCTTCTGTCAGTCTAAATGTGCCATCTCCGCACAATTTTATGTAGGTCTTGTTTGTCAAACTGCGCAACGTGTCTTGCAGCAACATTGGGTTGCAAAAAACTACTGCTGTGTGTTCGGGTTCCAATAGGAGATCTGCAACCTTTAGCTCATTTACAGCATCATCTACACCCTGCACAGAACCCAGTTCACGCTCCAATTGTCTCCAGTCTGCAGCCACCCACTTGAAGGAACTGGCACGGGAAGCAGCACTGCCCTTGTGCACGCGGTGGTTCTTTCCCCACGTGCGGAGCCAGGCGTCTGACGGGCGGTCCGGCTGGTGTTGCTCGACGACCCGCACAAGGTCTTGGGTTGTGAAACGAGTATGGTTTTGCACATACTGCTTCAAAGCATGCTCGGCAGTAGCAGTCAGAGGATTCCATGCCCGTGTGGCACTAAAATCGCCGTGGGCAGTGATTGGAGTGGACTTCCTCTCAATTTCATTCTCCGGCTGGTTGTATGTGCAAATTGCTTTCCAGCCCTTCCGATCCTGACATGCATCGCAGGAATTGCACCAGAGGTAAGCCTTGAAGCCGTGTGCATGTGGAGCGCATTGGGACCGGATTCTCAAATTGTGCCCGGGTATGAGAGAACTTGCCCAAGCTTGCTCTTGCTTCAAAAAATCGACTTTGGACAAGGCGCGCTCGCACGGCAGTGTGTACCGCATGGTGTAGAGAGCAGCAACCTCCTCAGCAGAAGGACGACCCCGACGTGCGTCGTTTTCTTCAGCGTTGTCTGCTGGCTCCTCCCCGTGTCTTCCACGTTTTCCTGCGCCATGCATTGGTGGAAGTGGTGAGCGCTCAGGACGTGCATCCTGACCAGCAGACTGCGGGATTGAAGACGGCCAGAAAGCCTCAGAGACTTGTAGGTCCAGAAGGGTGGCTGAAATCGCTGGAGAGAGAGGGCAACGATGGAATTCCACATATCGACCCGTCCCTCCCTGCCGTCGTTTCTTTTCTTTTAAGTCCCCAAGGCCCAAGCAAACAAGCTCATTCAGCAAGGCTAACCTGTCCTCGCGCTTGGCAGACCCTCGGAGCATGGCGAAATGGGTGCTGAGGTGCGTCTCAAGAATGGGGTCTTTGAGGCACGTCTCCAAGACACGGGCTGCCATTGGCCGGACTTGCTGAGGCGAGGCCAGACTAGAGGGTTGGACTCTGGGCTTGGAATGCACGCGACGAACAGTCGAATCCACTATTGCGCAACTTCTGCAAAGACGGAGGGCAAAGTGCTGAATGGAGCATTTGATGGCATCGTCACCTCAGATTCATTCAAAACGTGGAGAAGAACACAGCAACAAGCAACTCTAAGCAGTCAAAAAATAGAAAAGCTTTTCCTAGTGATCTCCCTCATCATATGTCTTGACGCAGCAGGTTACACAAGTCTAGCTAGTGTAGGTGGGTCGTAGCACGGTGGGGAGCCGGCATTTGCGTTCGTTGCGTGGTAGTTTGCAGGGTGGGCCGTAGCATCCACCATTGTGGCGCAATCACGAAGGGCAAAAAAAGGTAGTGTGGTGCGTGGTTGGCGGCCTCAACATTGGGGCAATAGTTGGGTGGCGGATGAGTAGTTTGTCTTCGTTGCACGCAACCACAAACAACAATCAGGCGCACGCTGTGTCCTTTGCAGTTGCGTAGCAATCTGCAGTTGGCCACTGGGGCAAGGTCGCAAGGAATATACAAATTGAGTGGCAGGTGTGTACCTCGCCTTTGTTGAGCCGGGCTTTAGAGTCGACCATTGTGGTACAGTCACAAAGGGAATGATGTGTGGTGCGTTGCGGTGGTTTGCGGGCTGTGTATAACAATCTGCTGTGCGGGCGTTGCTCGGTGTCAGATCAAAGCTTACGTTTTGTTGTCCAGTAATGTGCAGGGTGGGCCACTTAGCATGACAGCGGAGTCACAAAAGGCAAAAATAGTGTGGTGTCTGGTCTGTTTGCAATGATGTGTGCGTATATATTTTTAGATAGATAGATAGATATATATATATATATTGTGATTGTGGGCGGTGCCCCTGATGCATTTTTGTTGGGAAATCTGTGCCGAGCGTCGATGTATGAGTGTGGACGGCGCTAACCTTTCTGACGCAATCTTACAAAGATTTTCTGTTGTTAGCCAGGGGGTTGGGAGCGGACATACGGGATCGGGGGTCAACAGAAAGCAATATACTATTTGCGACCGTATACTTGGCACTTGGCGTTGCAACACATCTATGCTCGAGCCTGAACTTTCTTAAAAATGCACCAAATGCGATTCTAATTTCAGACACACAAAAAATTCTTCCATAAAGCCAAGTCACTGAGAACGAAAGATTGAGAAGATGGCTCCACAGCCCACGAAGCAAGGGCAGTAAGACATGCGGCTGTTGGGACATAGTACTCCATTTTGCCCAATGCAGCTTTCATGGCTGACCCCCAACCGCCTTTTTGGTCTTCTTCATACAAGTCATAGTAAAGGGATCGCACAGCTTCCTGGGCTGGAAGAGACGGGTGCAAAGGTTGCAACGGCAGGGCGTCCGGCCCATGGTGTTCCACAGTGTGAGCCCAGATTTTGACCATGAGATCCGCAACACACGCAGGGTCTTGCAGCCCAACTTCCCTGTCAACGATGGCCCGCCCTGTTGGGCTCATCAACACCCGTGCGCTAAAGCCGCACTTGTGGAGTGCCTCGACATGACACCACCAATCTTCGAACAAATTGAATTGCTGAAGAGGCACAAGTTGATATTCGTAGGATCGAAAACGAGCGGGGCAGGAGCTGCCTCATGACCAGCGAGGGCTATGGGTGGGTTGCGCTTTTGTCGCAGGTTCTCTTCGGCGCCAGTCCCCCACTCAAAGCGGCCTCCATTGGCTGACTCAAGCCACCTAGTCAAGTCCAAGAACTTGCCAGTGTCCACTGTCTTCTTGCTTGGAAAATTTGGGTCTAGAATGGGTTTGGATTCAGGACCATACAGAAGAAGAGTTCCGTCCAACGCTCGGAGTCCCACACCAATCCAATGCTGATCTGGCCAGAACGCGTGAGGCAAGGATTCCACCATGCTAGCAAAGGCTTTCATCACAAAGGCACACGTCGGAGACTTCCCCGCGTTTGGATCGCCGGTGGGGCATGCCCACCACCGCGCTTTGCATGTGAATGATTTTGACTTGTCCGCGTACAGGGCGACCTCTAGAGCCTTGTTCTGACAAGAGGCCAAACAAGCTTGGAAAAGATCGAAAGCAAAAATGGCCGGGAGGCCACATCCTTCGTGCAAGTATTCGCACGCTACTGCCAAAGGAAGGAGAGTTGTCTGGCCAAGAGAACGCGGAAACTTGGCGGCTTGCTCAATGGACAAATCCAATCCACGAAGGTTCTGAATAGATTTCAAAGACTCGACCAAAATTTCACATAAACTATGCTCTGCGATGTATTGAGAATATAGAGGCATCCTACCCCAAAAACCACTGTCCAAGCCAGCGTCTCCTTTGGAATTGGCAAGTATGGAGAACCATGCATGCACTTCCCCAGAAGGGTCGTCAACATAGCAGGCCATGCCCATGCGCCCGGGCAGGGTGTCCTGATCACCGGAAGTCAAGGTCTCTTCCGCCTTGTCACTGGCAGCAGCATGCGAGGAAGCAGCACCATGGGGACTGTGCAAACGACCGAGTTCGGCGGAAGCGGCAAAAGAAGGTGTATGCATAGTCCAAGAAGCAGGAGGTCTAGGCACAAGCGGCAGCGCAGGAGCGCCGACACCAGAAGCGAGAGCTGGAACATGAACGTCGGCCAATGACAAAGCAGGAGCTGGGAGCGCATCAGGAGATGCTACTGGCACACCGGGACATGGAGAACCATCCTCACTGGCAGAATGCACAAGATCAATGTAACCTGGTTCAACGCGCGTGTGCCGCCTGTCAGACGCACATGCCCAATCCAAGGCAGCGTCAAAATCGTCGCAAAACCGACGGGCCGCTTCTCGAGCAATTGGAGCCGGGACACCCACAACTAGCAGGTTCCAATATGTGGACGACGACGCGTGCACTGGAGGTGGTGTGTCCCCAATCATGCCTCCATGAGCCTCTGGTAGGTTCTCCGTAGCTGGACGCCACTTCGGGAAGAAAGGCAAAGAATTGGAAGCGACCTCATGACGATGTTGCATTGTCTTGGGCAACCATTTTGGGAAGAAAGGCAAAGAAGTCCAAGTTGCAGAAGCCTGACGGTGCACGCACTGTTCTAGAGGGCCAGAAAAGATTGGCTCTCCCATGGCTGGAGAGGAGACAGACTCGGACCGTGACACGGTAGCTTCCTCAACATCAAAGGGCCATGTCGGTGACACGGTAGGAACACAAGCAGGCACATTGAAAGACGCAAAAGCAGGACTTACATGAGAAGCAGGCAGGCTTTGGGGCAAAACTTTTGAGGGCAAAGTGAACGCCGCCGTTGACATCGCTGCTGAACAGGATGCGCGACGGAGCGGAAACCTTGACCCAAAACAGATTCGACAGCGTGGATTTTCGCAAGGCCTCTCGTTTTCGCCCGTCCAGGCAGGGCTGTCAACATCCAAACCACCTTCTGCTCGAACACCTAAACCGGTGGCAACACCGCTTTGCGACAACGGGAGCGAAGAGCTTGACATTGTAGGACATGAGGATTCGGGCACAGGTGTTACGGGATCAGTAAAGATTCCACTACCACGCAATCCAGCTTCAACCTTCGGCGAAATTCCACTATGCAGGCACGATGGATTAGCGCGATGTAGTTTGCAAGCCACATATTGCCCAAGTTTATGGGCATGCTTCTGTGTATATAACATAGCGAGTGTCTGGGGGCACGCATCCAGCCATTGCCCAGCTTCCACGAGGGAAAATTGCTGAGCATCATGCCCGGGCAAAAACAACAAGCAGGACCTCGCTGGCTTATGTAGGATCAAGAGGCCTTGTGGGTACCAACGGTGCAAAGCGGAGACTGCAATCTGAATGTGCTGTGTGCTTGTGACTGGACCCACTACATCTGCAGAGACATTGGCTTTCAAAACTTCCTGAATTGCATGTGCAGGGTTTTGCTTTGTGAGGTCAGCGTGCGAAATCCACCAGCAATGGGAAGCGGCACCATTTTCCATCGGGCAAAACAGCCAACCCGGCACGCAAGGAAACACGCAGGAACCAGGCAGGGCGCGATGAGAGCAGTCCAAAGACAATCGCTGGAGTCGCGACGCGGCAGAGGGCTGGCTTGCACCAAAACATGGCAGTAGAGCTCGCGCTGCGCGATTCCGCTCCTGCACAGGCAGGTGCCAGAAGAGTGCTGCGTGGGGACCTAAAACATTCATGATCGAGCGACAAGTCCAAAGAGGAGCCACTTGCGGATGCGACGAAAGCAAAACGGATTTGGGCCTGTGGATCTTGCAAACAGGTAAACCGGGATACAAAACCGGGCACAAAGAGGAATCCCACGGAATGCATCCTGGTCCGACTGCAGTCTTGGTCGGAAAGCCAGAACGAGCCGAGAAGGAACCATGGCGCGCCAGACAAGGTGGACGCTGGGCAGACGGGACATCCAAGTCCAGAACAACCAGGCCAGGGTTCACTTGGAGATCCTTGGAGGACGCTAGCTTCAGGAAGCGAGCTTCAACAGCACCGCACTGGACAGAAACCATGAAAAAGCCGTCAGTAAGAGTAGTAGCAGAATCCACCAGGAAGACATCACCAGCACGAGCCATTGCAGAAGATTCATAGGAAGTGACGGCGTCAAACAAAACTGCAGTCTCACGGGCACAAGCAAGGGAGCAACGAGGGGCCAAATACGAAGGACCCAGTCAGAGTGGAGAGGACAACCTGAGTGCACCAAGCGGTAAATGTTCTTTTTGCAAGGTGCAGCGCGAAGACACTAGCTGAGGACTTGGCAATGACACGGCTGGCATGTTTCAAACGAAGTGCCTGAAGCAGTTGAGAGCAGCATCCCTCTTATAAGAAAGGACAGAACAAACCTGGCCCTGAGGCGCTTGCTGCAGTCTCTTGGGGTCGCAATTGGCAGATTGGCAAATGGCTGCGAAAGTAAACAAATTAAGTGACTTTGCTTACAGCATCCGCGATGATTTTTCTTCTGTCTGTTTTCTGTCTTCTCTTTCTCTGGAATGGGTTTGGTGTTGCTG